CAGCCCTGTCCTGGGGCATCTGGGCGGGGAGGCATGGCCCTGCTGAGGGACTCTGAGGGACCAGCACTGTATGATCTGAGGGAGGAGGCACAGCTCTGCCTGGTGTACCTACGGGGGAGGCATGCCCTGCTGTGGGGGCCTGGGGGCCACATCTGCTCTGAGGACTCTGAGGGGGACTGGTTTCTAGGCCTGCATCCCGCCTGCTGACCTCAGCTCTTGCCTGCCCACCAGCCCTCGGCAAGTGTCCCATGCCCTCACAGTGTCCAGCTTGGCCCCGTGGTCCTGGACAGATGCTAGCAGCATGTGGGCAGCTGCCTGTACTCGGAAGGGGCTGGGCGAGCCCAGGCCCTCGATGACAGTCCAGATGAGGTCCATCAGCTCCTGCACACTCAGCTGTTCCATGACCTCCTGAGGCCGTGAGAGGGGTGGTGTCACTCGGTCACCACACCAAGCCCTCTTCCCACACTGAGATGACCCCTTCCTTCTTTGTACAGACCCCAAGGCTGTGAGTCTCCCGGCCCAACTTCTGATCCTCCCACCCTCCTGGGACCCTGTTCTCTAGGTGCAACCTTTTCTACCCCAGCCCAGCTTCTCCTCAGTCAGTTACATCCAGGCAGAAGGGAGGGCAGGTGGCTAGGTCAGGGCAGGGGCACGTGGCCTGATTCTCACACGGTTCCCTGTGTGGCCAACGGCCCTCACTCTTGACCTTTTGCCCTGTCACCACCTAGGGCTTCTCACCACTGGCTCTGTCCCACCCCACCTGAGTGTCCCCACAGCCTCCTCTTCGCTGCCCTTCAACCAGACAGAGAGCAATGGTTTCAGAGCCCTAAGGGGTCATCATGGTCACCTGGCCCCACTCTGACTTGGAGAGGTAGAGGGGCCATGGGTAGGGTGGCCTCCCAGGAATGTCTCTGCTCCATGCACGACCTCCCAGGAGCAGCACCCAGGCCCAGCACAGTAGTCCCTTGTCCCCAGGGCCACGAGGCACACCCAGGCAAGGCAGCTGGTGAGTGTGACCCTCTCATGGGGTGGCCACGACCCCCTGCAGGGACAAGATCAGATCAGGCTGCACAGGTGAGGCCTTCAAGAAGGTGGAGCGCCCCGGTGCTGGGGGTCTGAACTCAGCACCATATGAGCCGGGCGAGCAGCCAGGTGGGTTTCCATGGCTGTGTTCAGTGAACATCTACACAGTGAGCTAGGCTCCTCTGTGCCAATTTCCACCAAGCGTGGTGACGTTGGATTCCTTGCTTTGTGTTCTGGTTGGTCCAGTGCACTGTCTGGGCTCCATGGCTGATTGCTGGGTCTCATTTAGGTGGGGCTTCAGTTATTGGAGGCGGCTCCCTTGTTCCCTGACAGGTGATTTGAAGGGACAGGTCCCACCCCGGGTTACTGAGAATCCCAGAGTCGTGTTTGGGAGTTCTCTGTCCTTGACTGCTCCAGTCTCTGGATTTTTTAAATTAAGAATTTGAGTTCTGCTCTTTATTTTCCTCCTATTCCATCTGGGACCGCCGGCCCCACTCCTGGTTAGAATGATCCTTGGTGGCTGGGCATCATCTGGTTCTTCTGGTCTTGGACCAGGTGTGGCTGCGGTTCAGGTAGACTTGTCTCTTCTCTGGGTGTCAGGTCCCTTTCCTTCTGCTCTGCTCCTGGTGAGAGCAGAGGTCCAGTGCTGGTCTTGGACAGCTGATCACAAGTTGTCATGACTCCGGATGCCATCCACGCCGCCACAATGCAGCCACGAGTCCTGTAAAGTGGAGGGCTTGGCTGTGGCAGCTTGGACCCACCAGCCACGCAGAGGCAGGTGCGACAGCTGGCCTCCCTGAAGGGTGACAGCCTGGAGTTTCCGTGGGAAAGCTCTGCTGCCTGTCAGACCACTATGTGTTGAAGTTGACTTGGTGGCAATGGGTTTGGTTTGAGTTTATGTTCTGACAATGGACTGAACTGTCCACAGCCGGCCCTCCAGCGGGTTTTCAGAGGCAGTAAATGGTGCAGGTGGTGCCCGTCTGTCTCCCTCAGAGCAGCTGGTGGCCTGCGTGCCTCTGGGATTGCAGTGCAGCGTCTCCTCACTAGGGCTACCAGCGCTCCCCAGGGACAGCGTCCGGCTGTGGAACCACATGGCCCCCCTGGCTGAGTGGTTGCTCCTCATTACCCTAAACTCCGTGTCCCTGAGCTTGTGACCCAATCTTTTAAATCGCTTCTGTCAGTTTGATCCCATGTAGACAGCTCTTCAAAAGAGCACAATGCTTGAGGCAGACGGACCTTTTTCATACATTTGAATTTAATTAAGTAAAACAAAAAAAGGAGAAAAATGCCGTTATCTCTAACTAGCTACATTTAAAGTCCCCAGTAGTTTGTGGTGTACTGGATCACCATTACGTGGCCAATTTTCTGGTCACGATCTTGTAATGCCCACCAGATGAGTGGGTGGGACTACGTAAATGAGCTACTAGAATCCCAAAGAGGGGACTGGTCAGTCTTTCCATATCACAAACCTTAAAAAATTAAAAAAGCCATCCCAGAGGTGGAAGACTGATCAACAACCTGCTTTATGCAGGTGATACAACCTTTCTATAAAGAAAGAACTTTAGCTTTTGCTGCAGAAGAGAAACAACTACCACCTTTAATACGAATGACATCTCAATATCAGGCAAACAAAATCCTCAGCACTGTACCAATAAGGAGTATTATGACAGAGAAAAGACTGGAGCTGTCACCAATTTCATTTAACCAGGACCCTTGCAAGATATTTTCTCTTCCACCCAGTCCTCGCTCACGTGAGTTCTCCGCATCACAAGGAACCGGTACAAGGGCCACCAGGTCAGTGCCCAGTGACAGTGACAAGACGTCCAGCAACCAGGACCACAGCCCAGTCCTGCGCCATCTTCGTACCTCGCTGCGCCAACACATTGCTGTCGCCACCTCCTGCAGGGTCTTTCTCTTTTTTTCACTGGCCTTCCACTTTAACTAAGCATCTTGTCCTCCAGGGATCAGTCTCTCTTGACAACATTCCCAAAGCATGGGAGATGTAGCCTTGCCACCCTCACTTCTAAGGAGCATTCTGGTTGTATTTCTTCTAAAACAGGTTCATTCTTCTGCAGTCTGTGATATATTCAGTATTCTTTGTTAACACTCTGACTCAAAGGCATCAATTCTTATTACACCTTAAATAGTAAATGGGAGAATGTTTACTGTTGTTAGGCGCTGTTGAGTATAACTCCCAGCAACTCTATGAACTATGACCTGACCCCTGTTCCTGTCCTGTGCCGTCCTCAACGTCTCTGGTACACTCAAGTTCATTGCTGCAACACTGTATCAGTCTGTCTCATTGGAATCTCCTCTCTTATGCTATCCCTCTACCTTTTCAACACGATGTTCCTCTCCATGGGATAGCATCTTCTATTAACATGTCCAAAGTTTGTGCAATGAAGCGCTGTCATCTTTACCTCCAAAGAGCACTGGCTATACGTTCTCCAAAGCATATATGTTTATCCTCTTGGCCATCCATGGGTTATTCAGTGCTCTTCTCCAACCAACACCAAAGCTTAAAGGCTTGTGCTTCTTCTGTAATCCTTATTCATTATCTAGCTCTTAGATGTATAACTAGTTATTGAAAAGACTATGACTTGAATCATGTGTACCTTGGTCCTGAAACGGACATAATTATAAATATTTATTAGGAAGTTATAATGTTAACATTTCGGTAGATTTTTTTGTGAGTATTGTTGATTAACATGCTGATTAAAACATTAAAATAATTTAATGGGAATTTGTAGTTTGTAACTACATTCTTTTCAGGCTATTAGAAATCTGGTTAGATCATTAGTTAGAAGATTAAATGATAAAATTGTTTTCTAAAAATGCTAAACTTTTGGTTAAAGTTCTAGCCAAATGTTTGAATGTCTGTGAAGTTTGAATGTTGGAATGGTGAGAATACTACATTCTCAGGTTGGCAAAGAGGTGCTTCATACAAATGAGGGATGTGAATTCATGTTGTTGTGAGGTGGAGGTGACAGTGAGGGCGGGGTAGCAGGGATGGTGTTAGAGTTGATGATAGTGACGGTGGACGCAGTGGTAGTGCTGGTGGTGTTGGAAATAGCAGGATGGTGACACGGGTAGTAGTGCTGGCGAGGTTACTGTTGGAGATGTGGTGACAATAGTTATGATAGTTGTTGCTGTTATGTGCCTTCCAGTCAGAGTTAACTCCCAGCTGACCCTTCAGTGGGGTTTTGGAGGCTATAAATCCCACAGGAAGAGACTGTCCATCTTTCTCCTGCAGAGCAGCTGGTGGATTCAATTGCATACCTACCTTTGGGTTGGCAGCACAGATCTGAGGCCACCAGGGAGTGGTAATGATGATGGTGTTGGCAGTGGTGGTGATGGTGGCGGCAGCGGTGGTGGTATTGATGGTGGTGTTGACAGTAATGATGGTGGTGTTGGCAGCAGTGGTGATAATGGTGGTGGTGGTGGCGGTGATGGTTGTGGTGGTGATGGTGGTGTTGGCGGTGCTGGTGGTGGCGGTGGCAGTGGTGGTGATGGTGGTGTTGGCAGCAGTGGTGGTGGTGGTGATGGTGGTGCTGGCAGCAGTGGTGGTGGTGATGGTGGTGATGGTGGTGTTGGCAGCAGTGGTGATGATGGTGGTTGTGATGGTATTTTTTTCCTATTTGTGCTGTTTTCTTTCTTTCCACTTGTGGTGGTATTGACAGTGATGATGGTGGTGTTGGCAGCAGTGGTGATGGTGGTGATGGTGGTGATGGTGGTTGTTGTGATGGCGGTGGTGGTGATGGTGGTGTTGGCAGTGATGGTGGTGTTGGCAGTGATGGTGGTGGTGGTGGTGGCGGTGATGATGGTGGTGTTGGCAGCAGTGATGATAGTGTTGGCAGTGATGGTGGTGGTGGTGGTGATGGTGGTGTTGGCAGTTGTGATGGTGGTGGTGATGATGGTGGTGGTGATGATGGTGGTGTTGGCAGCAGTGGTGGTGGTGATGGTGGTGACGATGGTGATGATGGTGGTGATGGTGGTAGTGATGGTGGTAATGGTGGTGTTGGCAGCAGTGGTGGTGGTGATGGTACTGGTGGTAGTGGTGGTGGTGATGGTGGTGTTGGCAGCAGTGGTGGTGATGGTGGTGTTGGCAGCAGTGGTGATGATGGTTATGGTGCTATTTTTTTCCTATTTGTGCTTCTCTCTCTCTCTCTCTCTCTCTCTCTCTCTCTTTCTTTCTTTCTTTCTTTCCACTTGTGGTGGTATTGATGGCGGTGTCGGTGATGTTGCCATGATGGTGATATTAGCAGTCGTGGTAGTGGTGATGACACTGGCAGGGGGTTGGTGAGGCTGGTGAGGATGGTGATGACAGGTGGTGAACATGATGGGTTCTCGAGTTAGGTAGGACTGGTTCAAACGCTGGCTGAGGCACAGATCAATGTGCTTCCATCTCTTCAGGGCTGCCTTGGGCTGATACAGCTTATGGGGTGTTTACTGAGGGTTCTTTGGGCCACCAGTCCCTGTGCTGGACCCAGAACAATTAGAGTGAGAGGCATCCTGGCCTGGAACAATCACAGGGAGACACTGCCAGGTACAGAGATCACAGAGTCTCCCTTTGCAGTGCTTTCAACACCACAGGAAGTCAAGAAAAAGTCATTGTATCAGACATCACGAGCCAGCGACTTGGAAAACAAGTCTCCAGGGAACATCGCCTGCCAAGGTCAATGCCAGCTCTGAGCTCCACCCCCGCACTGCTGACCGGCTTTCTGTCAGATGATAACACTATTCAAATTCAACACAGAGGGAAGCCATGGACCACGCCAAAAGGACAAGCCAGCAACACAAGGCAATTAATTCACAGGGGATTATCACCAAGACAAAGCAGTCTATGAGAGGACTGTCACAAGAGGCTGCAGGTCATGGGGGGCAGGGCGTTGCCAGGGAGATGGTGCAGGTCATGAGGGGAGTTGTCACCTGGGCGGATGATACAAGGGGGAGCATGTCTCCAGGATGTGGACACTGACGGGAGTGATTGTCCCAGGACATGGCAGCTCATGGCTGAGGAAAAGGTTGTTGGGTCCTAGAAGGGTCCTTGGCTAATGGAATCTGATCTCAGGTGAACCAGATGGCAGTACCTTCACAGAAAGGCAAAGAAGAAACTCGGAGGTAGAGGCCCATTTGGCCTGCTGTGCTGGGAAGAAAGCCAGGAGGGTGTCTCTGAGGGAGCGAGACTCCAGCGGGGTTCTGAAGAAGGAGTAGAAGTTGGTGGGTGAAGCTGGAGGTGAAGGAGGAAGTGCAGGAAAAGGGCTGCAAAGATGTCAGAGATGACAAGGTCGGCACAGGTGAGGACAGGGCTCAGGTCTGGGGTCCACAGGGTTGCTACAAACTGTACGCTGCTCAACAGACCCTACAACAACAGGTGTGGAACCGTATATGCCTGCACATGGTTCTTTACGGCTCACATTTGGAAAGTCCTGCAGCCGTTTACAGTGTGTAAACTTGAGGATGGGACAAAAGAGTGTCTGGAAAAACATGTGGCATCTAATAAATGCTGGCTTCTAGCTCTCTCTACACCTGCCGCTGGTGGGCACCATGGGAGACAGGACGTGGTTTGCCCCCACTCCACATCAAGGACACACACGGTGTGAGGTGAGTGTACCGCATGGTGGTGGCCTGGCCCAGCCCCTCGCTGCCCCTCAGGTGGTGCCAGCGGCACAAAGGGCACAGGTTTGGTGCCAGGTCACCACAACCCAGCATGGCACAGAAGTGCTGTCAGCTTCAGTGACCAGACTGCACTGCATTCCATCAGCCACGGTGACAAAGTCTGAAATATTGTTGAAAATGATCAAAAGGTGGCGCAGCACGAGTTGGGCGCGTGGCTCTCAAAAAAACAGCGCTGACAGATTCGCTTGCCGCAGGGCTGCCACAACCTTGACTTTGTGGGGAAAGGACGCCTGTGAAGTGTGGCCAAGTGGGCACTGCAGGGAAGCAGCCTGCACAGGCTGCTGCCAAGGGACAAGGCCAGCAGGAGGCACGTGAGCCCCGCAGGTCCCTCCTGGGCAGCCTGGGAGTCTGACCATCCAGGGTGAGGAGGGACAGGGCATCTGTCCAGGGGGACTGTGCCCACATCCAGCAGGAGCCCAAAGAGCCAGGACCCCCACCCTCATAGAGTGTGGGAACTCATTCCCAACATCCTGGACTGGGGAGCGTCAGAAGCCTCCCAAAGGCCCATGGGGGCGGGTTGGAGGGGGAGAGACCATGCTGTTAATTTCAAGAGAAGTTGGAGGCTCAGCCCCCCTGGGGTGGGGAGAGCTGGAGGGTGTGGGTGGGGACTGAAGATTCAGAAATCTTCCCATTGGACCCTCTCTGCTATCCTCACCCTCGGGGCCAGGGGGGTGGGGGAGCTAACAGCTGCTCTAAATGCAGGGGGTCCCTGGCGAGGCTTTCTTCATCACGTCAGACCAGCATCACCCCGGGCCTGGCCACGTCAGACCAGCATCACCCCGGTCCTGGCCACCGTGCAGCCTGGGACCATGGCAGGGTGGTGGGGGTGGGAGCAGAGCTGGGCCACGTCACCCCCCTGCCCCCAAGACCTGCTTTCAGGCTCTGACCTGGAAGACTCTAAGCTGGAAGATGTAGTCCTTGGGGACTCGAGCAGGAGTCACTGTCTGGCCATGACTGCTTAGCAGCTGCCTGAAGGTCCGAGGCTCTACTTTCACAGCATCCCCAGCTAGGCAGGGCCATAGGGTGGAGTGAGTGGAGCAGGACAGGGCAGGGGGCAGAGTGATGTCATTCTCCAGGGTCAGCAGTTTGTTGTCAGGGCTCGGGCTGAGGGGAGCCTGTGGTGAGGTCAGGCAGTTTGGGGGTCAGGGTGATATCATTGTGGGATGAGGCTGAGGTCAAGCTTAATGCTCCGAGAGGAGAGCAGGGCCTCCTTGTGATTGGGGCTGGGTTTGGGTGGACAGGCCCACTTTGGTGGCCCATGGACACTCACTTTTGTGACACATCAGCAGCCTGTGAAGGTAGCACATCCCCTCCACACTGGAGCGCTGGGTAGCCTTGTCGGAGTCCAGGCACGTGATCCCCAGCATGGCCACCAGCTGTCCGACCCCTGTGAGCTTCTCTTTCGGCTGCAGTGAGAGGGAATGCAGAGGGACTGCTGACAGGACTGTCCCCAGAGGCCCTGCCCGGCCACACACGCACCCTGGACCACCGATATCTGGATCCCCTTGAACTGTGCAGCCGTGCTGGAGCAGAATGAGGTGCAGAATTTAAGGGAGTGCCAAAGCACTCAGTGACTGAAATAACATTTTAATGCAGTATTAAAAAGGTAAATTTAACTCAAAAGAATCCATGCTGAACAAAGTATCAACATTTTCAATAAAACAGGGTTTGCCCCTCTACTTGCATGCCTGCGCTCAATCCTCGGTCCTGGCCCTGGTTCCCATAAAACTGTTTAAAAAAGGAAATGTCCAGTCCTGGGGCTGTAGTTTGCCAATCTGACTTTGACAGTATATATGAAAATGTAGTTTGTCTGCCCAGGCACATTTTAGAATGAGCCCTGGAGGAGCAGGGGTGAGCTGCTGGGGAACTAACCTAAAGTCCGTGGGTGGACCCCCAGCTGCTCCTTAGGAGAAAGGTGGACAGTCTCCTTCACAGGACTTAAGGTCACAGTCCCCGAAACCTGCCGCAGGTTGGAACCCGCTGACGCCAGTCATCTGGTCTTAGTATACACAGACTTTGGGTCACCTTATTCTAAGTCTGTTGTTGAACATGGATTTTCAATAAATCAAGCAAAAAAACCATCCAAACCCATGGCCATTGTGTCCATTCTGCCTCACAACCACCCCGTGTGTCCCAGGGCAGAACGGTGCTCCACAGGGGTTTTCAGGGCTGGATCCCTTGGAAGCAGCGCGCCAGGCCTTTCTTCTGAGTGCCATTGGGCAGATCCTAACGCCAAACCTGTCTTGAGGCCCGTGAGCTCTGGTAGACCCCGGGGAAGGGTGGTGCTGATCCGAGTCACACTCGGGGTGTGCAGAGATCCAGCAGTGGATGTGGGTGCAGGCAGGGGAGGGGACTTACGTCCAAGCAGAGACTCTGGTTCAGGAACTTGAGGAGCACCACGCAGGTGTGTATCGCCCGCTGCCGCTCGTGCACCTTCTCAGAGGCCAGCCAGCCATACAAGCGCTGTTAAGCGGGCAGGGTCAGTGGGTGGAGCTGCAGCTGTGGACTCCAGCCCCATCCAGTTGGCCAGAGCTCACCCACCCTTAGCCTCGGCTTTGGCCTCAGTACAGCCCTGCATCGTGTCTCAGGCTCCAGTACCCTGGGTGAGGACCTAACCCCAAGGAAGGCTCCACCCCGAGCAAAACTCCACCCCCTGATCAAGGCTCCACCCCAAGCAAGAGCCCATCTCTAAGCTAGGCTCCACCCCCGGAACAAGGTCCCACCCATATACAAGGCTCCACCCCTACACAAGGCTCCACCCCAAGCAAGGTCCCATCTCTAAGATAGGCTCCACCCCCTGGACAAGATCCCACCCATACCCAAGGCTCCACCCCTGAGCAAGCTCCACCCCTGAACGAGGCCCCACCCCTACACAAGGCTCCACCCCTAAGTAAGGCTCCCGCCTTTCCTAGAGCCCAGTCTCCACTTAATGCCACCAAGATGTCTCTGCATTCACCATTTTGGGGGGGGGGGCTTCTCTTTTCAGACCCTCTGTCCTAAGGCAACCCTGGCCCTTCCTGGGCTGACAGGCCTCCCTCTGGTCAAGGGGGACTACAGGAGAGCAGGTGAGGAGGGAGAGAGGCAGAGTCCGAGCAAAGCTGGGGAGCTTGCTCTCTGGTGATGGGGGGGAAGCTAGGACACCGCGGCCCAGGACAGGCTGACCTTCTCACTGCTCCTATGGTGACACGCAAAGCCGTTCCTGCCAGGCGGCCCCTGCTGCACACCCTCCCTTTGCCTCAGGACACTTTGACCCCTACACAGATCCAAGTCTCAGGTTTCCTGTGCCCAGCCCCCTCCCAGCCCCCTAATCCCGGCCTCTCCTCCTCCGTGTGCCCTGCCCTCACCGACATGAGGAAGTGGAGCTCTTCGGCCCTGGGGTTCAGCGTGAGAAAGCCCTGCAGCAGCTGGTGTAGGGCCTCAGTGGTCTCATGGTACAGGGCCTGTGCAGAGGTGACAGGTCAGGTTCACAGGGGGGCTCTGGGGGCCTGGGATGCTCCCAGTGCCTGGGAGTGGCATAGCTGCCCACTGCAGAGCCCACCACCATGCCTGAGAAGGGACCCACCCTCCTCTCCCACCCCTAGACCCTGAGACTTCCTGAGACCTGGTGAGGGGGGTCATGCAGGGGGCCAGCACACTGACCAGGAGCTGGTGCCCTTAGAGGTCCTTGAGCTTACCAGGATCCAGTGCGCTCAGATGGACTTTTAACTCAGACAGCCCTCGTGCTGACCAGGGCCTCCTGTGGCTTAATGAGCTGCAGTCCCTCCTTGAAATTCTTCATGTTTTGACCCAGAGCCCCCACACACCCCTTTCACTGGGTGTGCAAACCGGCAGCGACTCTGCCTCCAGGCCACTGTGCCCGCCCTCACTGCCTTACTCCCACAGCCCACCTCTGCAGCTAGCCATCTTCACTGTCCTCTGACACTCCTTCACTGTCACCTGACCCTCCAGAGTGGAGGGGGCACTGGGGTCATGAAGGGTTCCAGCTGAGTGCCTGGTGGTCCTGCAGCCCCTGGGGATGCCATGGGGTATGATCTGGGTGCATCATACAGTGGGGCACCCTGGACTCCTGTGGGTGAAGGCACAGGGGCACTACCCTTCTGGAGGGCTGCAGAGGGGAACCCTCATTCTCACACTGCAACAGTCCCCTCAGGTGTGTGAAGAACAGGCCCTGAGGACCACAGTGGGGTGCAAATCCCCCGCCATCATTTGTGACACCCTCCTTTCTCAGTGCACATGAGCAAACAGGAATGTCTTGGAAAAGCTGCAGCCAGAGTGCTCTTTGAAGGCAAGGGTGGTGGAGCTTCGTCTCTCATACTTGGGGCATTTTGCTTGCGGTTGTTAAGTGCTGTTGAGTATGACCCAAAGTGACCCTATGAATAGATCTGAACCCCGTCCTACCCTGTGTCATCCTCACACTTCCTGACACACTAGAGCCCATTGCAGCAGTCACTGTGTCAATCCACCCCGTTGAGGGTCTTCCTTCCCTTCGCAGACCTTCTGCCTTTATTTATCATGATGTCCTTCTCCAAGGAATAGCCTTTCCTAGCAACATTTTGGCAGTCCATGGGATGTTCAGTACTCTTGTTCAACACAGTCCCCCTGGAATAACCATCTCCCTGGGCTATACGGCTAACAGGACCCCTGGGCTGTGACAGACACACCTGTATATTAGGAGGTTCCAAAAAAAGGCAGGAATGCTTCTCCAGAGCCTCCAGCCTGGGCAGGGCGAACACACTGCGGAAGCACACGGAGAGGAGCTGTGCCTTGTGCTCCAGGTCCAGCAGGGGCCTCATTTTACTGTGGAGGAGAGAGTGGCGTGAGGGAGGACCTGTGTTCTAGGTCCATGAGCCCAGGTCCATGGCGCTGCGCCCTCAGTGACCCCTCACTGTCCTGCTGTGTTTCCCATGGCCCTGGCTGGACCCTGAGGTGCTCTGTCTCCCCCATCCCCCTGAGTGTTAGCCCTCAGGAATGAGGAAACTTTCCACCACACCATGCTGTCAGGGGAGGGGTGCTCTGGAAATGGGGGTTCAGAGGGTGTATACACTGGTGTAGTGGCTTTGAACCTGGTCTGCCTCCTGCACTCACCTGTGCTGGTGCACCTGCACATAAGAGCCCACCTACCCACTCTGCCCACTGCCAGCCCCCTCTCTGGCCATCCAGTAGTGTCCATCCCCCAGGCCAGTAAATGAGGACTAGCTTCTAAGCAGGGCTGCTGTTCAGAGGACATCCAAGGAAAGTTCTGGGTGGTGTTAGCCTCCCAGCTGACCTTCCCCCAAAGTCCTCTTGGCCAAGCTCAGCCTGTGGAGACCACTATCCATCCAACTCACTTCTGGTCTGGCGGGGATCTGGCCCCCAAAGATGGCAGGGCAGAGTGCCTGCCCCCTCAAGCCCCAACACCCCTCCAGCCTCTCGTGTTCTGGCCAGCATGGAGGTGGATGTTTAGCCAGGGCCTGTGTCTGTAGCCCAGGGTCCCTGAGCCCTCTGGACTCTCCTCCCTCCGTTCCCTGGTTGTCGCTGTGGCTCAACAGCAGTTTTCCTTTACTCCCTCCCCGCCTAGTGCTGGGACCTGCTCATTGGACCCTGCCTGCAACTTGAGTCTGGCCGTAAATAGCTGCCCTTGGTGCTCAGCTCAGGGGACTGTTTCTGCCCAGGACCACAGGCTCTGGTCAATATGGGCTGCCAATGCCCTCCCGCTCTGTCCTGCACTGGCTCAGACCTCTAGCCATCTGACCTTTCCCCATCTCCCTCACAGCCCTGCCAGCACCAAGCCAGAGTAGAGAGGCCACTATCTAGAGCTGAGGAAGGCACTGCGAGGGGCCTGGCCACCTACCAGAGGCTGGACATGACATGCATAGTCTGCTGGCGAGTGGTTGTACACAGTGTTTCCGGGCACTCCTTCTCCATCAGAACCTGTCAATTCCCAGATGCAGACCAAGTCACAAATGTCAATCCCACTTCTGACACCAAGGCTGCCTATGACCTCATCTGGCATTCAGGGTTCTCTGTAACAGAGGAACCACTTAGACAATGAGCCCACAGACTCTGCCTTCAGACAGACCATGTCTGAGCCTGGTCACCCTGTGCTAGCTGTGTGAGCTCGGGCAGGACTCCTGAGTGCTGAGGGCATGGCAACCCAGGGAGAAGGGTCCCTGAGCTTCCAGTTGTTGTGTGCCATCAGGCCAGAACGGACTCATAGTGGACCCTTCAGCAAGTTTTCAGAGGCATGGGAGGAAATTGTCCAGCTCCCTCCTGTAGGGCAGCTGGTGGACTCAAACTGCCTGCCTTTGTGTTGGCAGAGTAACTCCTTACCCTTGAGACCACCAGAGCTCCCTGCATGGTAGAAGCACAGGAGCTGGGAACTGTGTGCCTCTTAGAATCGTCTTGTCACTGTGGATTTCCTCGACTGCCCTGACAGCATGTGAGGCTGAGCTCTCTAGTGACCAGCTAGACCAGTATTTGCAGAATGGATGGAACCGGCCTTTTGGAATCTCAGGTTCACGGCCTGGGAGGCAGAAGTGCTTGCTCAGACAATGACTCAGGGTGGAGGTTGTGGGCAGCTTTTGAGGAGTTTGAGGAGCTCCACAAATATAACTCTGCCACCGCTTTCCCAGGGGGCCTGCTTGAGACACTGCTTGTCTGAGGAAGGGGCCAACCCTCTCCTTGGCAGCAGCCCCCTCCTCGGCTCCAGGACGTGTTCTCACCATCAGACAGTTAAGAAGCTCGGGGAGCTGGGAGAACTTGTAGCTGTGGGCACCTTTGCGGCTGATAGCTCCCATCAGCAGCAGCATGGCTGAGAGGAAGCTCTGCTTCAGAGTGTCGTCCTGGAGTGAGAGGAGCTGGTCAGCAAGCGGGCAGAGAGGACAGGGTGGCCAAGAGCAGGTCCATTGCAGAAGGGATGCCACAGAGCTTGCCAGCTGATGGCCAGCTGGACTGGAGCTTTTGAGGTTTTTGATCCATGGGGGTTTGTTAAATATTGGAGTATATTACCGATAGTACTTAAGCATTAGGATAGCACTCCTGAGATCCAGTGTGCTACCCTGTGTGGTAGTGGTGATGCTAGCGTGGCAGCCCTGGGAGCCGGTACCCACTGTGGCCCCTCGCCAGGGTGTGGTCACTACAGGACTTCCAGACCCTCCTGGGCCCTGATATGAAGTCGTGGTGCAGAGCACACTGTCAAAGCTTGTCACTCTATCCCCCAAACACCCACATCCCCCCCCAAAGGTAGACTCCAGGGTTTGCTGTAAGGAAAGTGTGGGTGGGATAGAAGTCCCCACTGATGCCTACAGAGTTCTGGGATGGGCAAGGAGGGTGCTGGGGAGGCCAGGCCAGTTACGCTGGACTCCAGTGTCGGATGGAGGGCAGAGAGAGGGCTCTAAACCTTAGGGTCCTGGATTTCTGACTCAGGTGCTGGAGTCCAAGCCTGGTCTTGACAGTGGGGGCCCTGCATTTGGGGACCAAACCGAGGCACCCAGGCTGCAGTACCCAGCTGCTGTGGTGGAAGTAGAAGATCATTCTGGACAGGATGTTGTCTACCCACGGGAGGATGTGGTCCTTGGCCTTGGCTGCCATCTGGCCATAGGTGAGCAGGATGGTGCTGCTGGCCCATTTCCACCGGAAGTCCTCAGAGCTCTGACCACAGGGGAGGGGCAGGTGAGGGGTGTCAGGACTCGGTGGACCCCCCTCTGCGGGGGGGAAGGGGGAGGGTCCCAAGCCCTTGCTGGATGCTCGTGAGAAAATGGTCTGGACTGTGGGCCTCTGTTTACTTCATTAGGGAATTAAAGAGAATGAGATTGTCTCTCTGGGGTGGGAGAGGCCTTGTGAGGCCACCATAGGGTGTACTGGGGGGATCTGGCTTTGCCATAGCCCCTCACTTCCTTCTGGTGGAAGCCCCTTCCCAGGAGCCCGGTGACCTCTCCCCTTCCTGCTGGAATGGTGGCTAGGGTCTGGGGGTTGTGCCGTGACCTCATGGGATGGGGACAAGGATATGGAGCATGGAGCACCCTCTCTGGGAAAGGCCTGGTGCACCAGGGACTCAGAGTGTAGGGCAGCGTGGTGGCAGCTGTGATGTGAAGGCCTGTCTATGGCTCTGCTGCTCTTCTATGAACCTGGTACTTTGGGGAGTCTAGCACGTGGGTCCTGGGCTCTGCTCTGTGATGTGCCCCCTCATCCAATCCGCAACAGCTGTTCAAGGCATGATCATACCTCAAAGAGGACATGGCACAGGGGGGCTGAGCAACTTGGGCAAGAGCACACAACAGGTAGAGATGAGGTGGGACTGGAAGCTAGCTCTCCTGGCATGGGCACGGGGTCCAGTTAGGACTAGGACCTTCACAAAGGGCGAGGGTCCCAATATCCCAGCCCTTGGAGACCCCGAGGACTGAGAGCAGACAGACACCTTTGGGGAGAAATTGTTTAGACTCCACTTAAGGGGAGCGCTTCGGCCAAACTGCTCCAGGACAGCCCAGACGTCGTCCAGATGGCGGGCAGCGGCCAGTCCCATAGTGAGTGCCATACCCTGTCGGGGAGCCAAATGACAGGGTCAGACATGCCCTCCTGAGGCAAGTGGCCATCACCTCCCACCCAGGCTTTTCAGGATGTGTTCCTGGAGCCCCACTCAGAGGGAACACCTCATGGAGTGGATGAGGCAGAGGGTCTGAGGCTCCTGGAGACCAGTTATCCCAGCCAGCAATGAGACCTGTCCACGGGGTGGGAGTGAGGGTCTGGGAAAGAAATGTGTGTGTTATAGGTAAGAGAATCCAGGTACTGTGGGTGGCTCATGGTCAGGGCCAAGAAGTGTACAAAGAAAAGACAAAGCCTGTACCCAGGGTCAGGGGTCAGAGTGTGACCAGGGTCAGATCTCAGTGTACGACTAGGGTCAGGGCTCAATGTGCGACCAGGGTCAGGGGTCAGAGTGTGACCAGGATCAGGGCTCAGGGTGTGACCAGGGTCAGGGGTCAGAGTGCGACCAGGGTCAAGGCTCAGGGTGCGACCAGGGTCAGGGCTCAGGGTGCGACCAGGGTCAGGGCTCAATGTGGGACCAGGGTCAGGGGTCAGGGTGTGACCAGGGTCAAGACTCAGGGTGTGACCAGGATCAGGGCTCAGGGTGTGACCAGGGTCAGGGGTCAGGGTGTGACCAGGGTCAGGGTGCATTGTGTAACTCTGGTCAGGACTCAGGGTTTGGGTATGATCAGGGCTCAATGTGCAAACAGGAGCAGATACAGAGTGTGGCAAGGAGAAGGCACAGTCTGTGACCAGTATCAGGGCTTAGCAAGTGCGTAAATTAAGACTGAGCTTTGGTGAGAGTCAGGGACCAGCCTGTGACCAAGAAGCAGCATTAGTAGCATCCAGACTCACATGTAATAACCAAGGATCAGAGGAAGCCAGCGGGTAGGGATCAGGGGTAAGCCGCTGGGTGGGGATCAGGGCTAGGCTGGCTGGTACTCTTGGGGCCATTGGAGGTCTGGGTCCTCACCTCCCTGTGCTTGGGCCACTGATGGGACGTTTCCAGGAGTGACCGCAGGTGTGTCTTGACTGTGGTGCTGTTGCTCGCAGCCCGAAGGACCAGCCCGTAGTAGGTGAACAGGAAGGTCTGCAGGGGGCAGGCACTGTGCTCTGAGTCTGCGCTCACCGGCTCCCTCCTCTCCAGATGGCTGCCACCTGCTCTGAGCCACCTCCCTTCCTTCCTCTGGCAGCACTGGACACCCCTCTAAGCTGACTCCCCTCATCCTGCTCTGGGCATCCGACCACCTGCTCTGGCTTCAGTGCTGCTGCCCAGACATCAGCGCCTGTTTCTTTTGGGGTCACTGCTATCCTGTCAGTGCTGGGGCCCTGCTCAAGGAGTGTGGCCTGAGACCCACAGAGTCCTGGGCCTGAGCGGGTAGAATGGGGGTCTGAGGGTGGGTAGTGGCTGTGTGGCCCTGGGACCCACCTTCTCAGGGGGCTCGTCTTCCTGTGTCCGGTTGGGTTTGGTGAGGGTGGACAGCAGCTCTCTGGACCACTCATCAGTGTTAAGAAACTGGACCGACTTGACGGCTATCTGTTAGCAGACCAGGTGGGCAGGGTGGGCTGGGGCTTGGGGTCTCCACCAGCCCTGGCTGTGTCTGGCTTCTTTGGCTATGACCGAGTCCGGACCTTGTCCTCTGGATGGACCCCTTCCCATTTCTGAGTCTCCAGCATCAGCTCTCTCCTTTGCCTGGAAGTCCTGAAGACAGGTGTCTGCCACCCTCTCAGGGGAGGATATTTGTCTCCTACGATGCCTAGCCCAAGGTGGAACTGTCCACTAGGTGCATGGTCTGGGGCCAGGATATAATAGCTGAAGTGGTCCTCTCAACATCCCCAGGAGTGTGGGCACCTCTTGGGCCTCCAGGGCTCAGCCTCCTTTACAGCTGTCTTCCCAGACCTTGTACAGTGCCCAGTACATAGTGTGTGCTCCCTCAATATTTGAGAATGATTGTAAAAGAGGTTTAAAAGATGAATAAATGTCTCTTCAAAATATAAAGCCCTCAGTGTTCTGATCCAAACACTGCATGATTTTCTGATCATGGCTAGAAGATGTCCCTATTTCCAACAGCCCCATAGCCCACCTTTCCATGGCCACTAAATTTCTGATCCCAAGATTCTTTTTTTTTGGGGGGGGCGGCATCTTAAGTATAATCCCAAACCTTAAAATCTCAAAAGAAAAGACAGAGAAATGTGAAGATAGACATTGAAAGAAGTTTGTTTGGGGGAAAAAAAAAAGAACCCAAACAAAACCCCCCAAAACAAAAAAACAAAACACCACCATAAAATAATATGAAAGACACAGCAAGCCTTCCCGCCCGCCCCCACAATCTATTACCTAGCCATAATAAGGAGATTTTTGTAATAAATAAGAAAAAACCAAGTAGCCTATTTTAAAATAAAGGAAACAGGATATATACTTAACTTTATGATTTCAACTTTGCTAGTATTTAAAGTAGCAGCCTATTTACCAATATTTAGATGTGCTGTCAAAGACCTCTCCAAAGTGCTCAAGAGCGATGATGTCAATACAAAGACTAAAGTGCACCTAATCCAAACCCTGTGGGAGAAGGGTGGGCAGTCTCCCCCCATGCGATGAACAGCCTCTGAAAACCCCAGAAAAGGCCAGCTACGGCCAGTTCTGTCTCTACAGTTCACAACAACAACAATCTAAAAACCATGATATTTTCAATTGCTTCTCATGTATCTGGAAGTTGGAAAATGAATAAGGACAACGGAATAAGAACTGAGGCAAATTGTGGTGTTGGAGGAGAGTACTGAACACACCACATGGACTGCCAAGAAACAAGCAAGGATCTGTCTTGAAGGAAGCACAAGCAGGTGTCCCTTAGAGGCGAGAGGATGGGGACACTGTCTCATGTAGGGTGTGTTGTCACGAAAGGCCAGTTCTTGGGAAAAGACGTCAGGCTGAGAAAGGTTAGAGGGTCAGAGAAAGAGAGGAAGAGCCTCAGTAAGACAGATTGTACAGTGACTGTGAAAGGCTTGAGCACAGTGTGGACCACAGGCTGATGCAGGACAGAGCAAGGGTCTGACCTGCTGTTCAGACGGGGTTCCGAGGGTCGCTGTGAGTCATGGTTGGCTTGACTGCACCCAACAACAGTAGCAATATTTAATGATTAGGTGTCAGGACCATGTATCATTTGGAGAAAGACTGGCCAAAGTGGACACGCTGAATGCAGGCAGAGAAGGGAGGGACAGCACCCACGTGTCTTCTGAGGGGAAGTGACTGCACTGAGACCTCTTTTGGAAGGCTTTTAACAATATCAGTTACAATGTAAAATGTGCAGCTCTAGGGTTTTATTGTTGAAACACTAACACATGCAGTGTTGTGAGATGGGGGTCCCCACGTTCTTGCTGGAAGAAGGCACGTGTGCTTTGTTCCTAAACACAGAGCTGCTTACCCCAGGAGACAGCCCCCACAGCTGTCTTGGTCACTGAAGTGAGTTACTCCCCACTTTCTTCAGAGCCTAGAGGGGCTTGCCTAACTCAAAGAGCCCTGGTGACATAGAAGTTAAAGTCCTTGGCTATTAACAGAAAGGTCAGCAGTTCGAACCCACCAGCCATTCTGTGGGTGAAAGGTGAGGCTGTAAACCCCCGTGACGACCACAGCCTTGGACACTGTGTAGGGCAGCAGGGCAGTTCGGCACTGTGTTGTGGGCCCAGGGGCTGTCAAGCTGACGATGACATACAGTCCTGCTCCTCCTTCCTGTGTGTACGCCTGTGTGTCCCACCACCACAGAACACAGTCTCTCCAAAATGCTAATGTAACCCCCCAAACGCAGCATTTTTCCATAGCAGTGTCATTGGGGCAAAGGGTGACCGAGCTGAGGTGATGATGTTTTGCGGACGGGGTTCCCTGCCTGGCACGGCCGCTATGCGTGTGAGCAGTGGCGCACGCTGACTACAGGTCTCGCTCCAGGCCCTGGTCAGGGTGCTCACCGGTGTTCAGCATGACCGCCCCTTGGCTTTTCCAAACTGGAATGAATCTGATCTTAAAACGGAACCCCCGTGACACGTGTACCATAATGTACGGACTTGTGAATTTTGAAGACTGTGTGACATTCTCCCAGTGACTCCTGTGTGTCAGAGGACGGCTATGCGTCACAGGATATAAATGGCTGACTTGGGGAGGCATCACCAGGCTGTTCTTCCCAGGCACTTCTGGGTGAACTTGAACTGCCAATCTTTTGGTAAACAGCCCTGAAGTCACCCGAGGACTGCTTTGTACCAGGGGTCAGCCTGTGGAGCCACTAGCAGTTTCCTCTCTGGCCATGGCATTTACTGCCCTCTCTGGGCCCCTTGGTCTGACTGTACTTGGGATTAGAAGGAGAGGGTCTTCGAAGTGCTGGACATCTGCTCTATGACTGACCAACACTCAAACGCAAAGTCCAGCATTTGCCAACGCTGAACCTGGGACAAGTCACTTACCCCCTGAAGCCCAGTGTGTGTGTGTGTGAGTGTGTGGTGTGTGTGTGTACGTGTGCTCTGTCCCACCCTCCCACCCCTCAGGACTACAGCAGGCATCTCCACAGATGGTGCCCAGTGCCGCCCGGCGTCCTCCCTACCTGTGTCAGCCACTCTTCCCAGCGTGCTTTCTCATCCTTGTTCAAGAGCTGCTCTGTGGATGGAGGGGCAGACACAGGTCTAAGGTGCAGGCCGCACTTCCTGACCACAGGCCCTTGGTAAAGTGACAGTGACCTGGCTGTGCCCCCTAGTCCATGGAGGACTGAGCTCAGACAGCCTGAGCTGCACTTTCAGTGGGAGCTGTGGTCTTGGTTGTGCTGTGACCACAGGCTGGCCACATGCCATCTCTGGGTTCAGAGACAGAGCCCTCTGAGATGTGCTAAGGAGCACTGTGGAATTGGGGTGCTTTCTGGGGACTTTGGGGAGCACATTCAGATGAATGGGCTGCTTTGGGGGTTCTGAGGGTCACAGAGGTCACCTCTGGCACTGAGAGATCTATACCCAGACTGCTTGGAGAGGGGGCCAGGGTCAGCATGCTGTCAGCCTGGCCCCTGGGTCCTCCCTGTGATCTCGGTGCTGCCACACCTGTCTCCCCACCTCCACCCACCAGCACATGCCCTTCTCTTCACCAAGTGAGCTTCTCTCCTCAGACTCTTATGCTGTTCTACAGACATGGTTTAGACCTGGCTACCTCCTCCAGGAAGTCTTCCCTAATAGCAAGCAGGCTCGGTGGTCTCTTTCACCTCTGGGCTCCTCAGCTGCTCTCAGGCAGCCCAGAGCTTTGCACATCCTCGTGAAAGAATGAACGAGTGAGTGATGACTATGTGACTTGAACGGTGCTTGTCCCCAGAGGCTGTGAGCTCCCCATGACAGAGAGCTTCTCTGGCCCTGGTGGTATCCTCCCAGGTGCCTCTGTTGTCCAGGATAGCCCTTCCTTGATGTTGTCAGCATCATGGGATGGTGATGGCAGTGGCTTTTGCCAGGCTGCCCCTTGCAGGAGGTGTCCCCTGCTCGAGTGGTCAGGAAGAAGGCAGCTGTGTCTAGCACTGCTGGGCATGAAGAGCTGAGCTGAGGGATCTTAGCACCGCCCATGGGGTTCCAGGCCAGACACACGGACAGGCGGGGCCTACACCAGTCAACAAGAGGCCAGCGGGGCAGGAGTCCTGCTAGTGCGAGCTGCCGGCTGGCCCTGAGATGTGCGCTGTGGGGTGCTGGGCACAAACTTGCACCTGCTTAACGGCAGGTGTGCAGCCCTGTGTATCCAGAAGGCCAGCAGCCCTGCTGTGGTGAGGGTCTCTCTCCCAACTGCCCACCAGCCCACAGACCCAGAGCTGACCTACCATTGAAGGACAGGACACCCAGCACGTAGAGGAAGCTGCGGCGTGGGAAGGTGCCCGACAGCACCTCAGCCTCCAGGTGCTCAGCCACTGGCTGCCATGCATGCTTGCAGATGGCCACCAACACATTGCTGGCCGCATCCTGGAAGGCGTCTTCCAGCTCCTGGGGACAAAGAGAGGTAAGGGCATTTAGACAGAGCTTGTTCATCACACTGGGCAGCAGGGCAGCTACCACCAGCCCATTCCTCTGGTCCTGAGTCAGAGACGGGGCCAGCACACACAGATGATCCTCTCTGAGCATCACCACCCTGGGGAGTGTGGGGGCTTGGGCCGCTGTTGTCCACCTGGGGGGTGTGTTCTCTGAGCCTCGAGCCTCCGTCTGTACAAGAGGGCCAAATGATGTCTGTTCATGCTCTGAGTAGTCACTTGGTGATGACACGGCTTTGATAATCATGACTGGTTGCCATGGTTACTGAACAGCTCTGGGAATCATGGCCCAGCCAAGGTGACACACACCCTTCACCATCACACAACGCTGGGGCTGTTGCAGGCTGGTCAGTCTACATAAGAGCTTCCAAGTCCCAGAGTCCCAATCAGAGTGTCAGAGGCCATCCCCGACCTGTAACCCTGCTGGGGCAGATAGTTCTGGACCAACCTCGTCAGGCTCCCCTGACAGGAACCCAGCAGGCACAGAGCCAGGAACTGAAGTGAGGCCTGAGGTGGACCTCGTGGAAGGTGGAGTGTGGAGCGCAGTGAAGGAGGCGGGGGAGGCCGAGGAGGTGGGAAAAGAGCACACCTCGGGGAAGGACAGCCAGGTGCTGGCTCAGAGCATCTTCCTCAGTGGTTCAGTGGGATAGCATGAGATTGTCCCTCTGAGAGGGGCTGGCAGGCAGAAACAAGGAAGTGGACAGAGCCACTAGGCTAATCACAGGGTGACACTTAATTCTGCATGAACTCTAGGGCCACTGCCTGCTCCCCCGGAAGCCCTTGGGCCCCAGGGTCTGCTGGGGAACAGGCAGCCCACCGTGGCCTTGGTCATGTTCTCCAGGGCTAGCTGAATGAAGGTTTTCTTCCAAGTCTCTTTCAGGACTTCGCTGGCTCTGATGACAGCCTCCAGGACCTGGAACAGGCGAAACTTGTGCCTGGTGGAGATCTGTGGATAGCAGAGGGCCAAGCTGGTCTGAACATATGGGAGACGCCAGCGGAGCCCTGGTGTGGGTGTCCAGAGAGCTGGCGTTGGGCTTGGGAGAGGGAAGACCACATGTGGACACACTTGGCCATTCAGCCAATGGCCATTTATTGGTCACCTACTATGTGCAGACCCTGCACCAAGTGCTGTGAAGACACTGAGTAGAAGTTTGTCTCTATCATCAGGGAGCTATGTGGAGCTATTTACAAACATTGCATCTTCAAATGCAGGTCAATTCATTCACTAAAATACAGGAGTATCCACCCATCCACGCATCCACCAATCCCCGCCACTTAATGCCTGTTCTAACTTGGGGCTTCCCTTCCCCAAGCCCCACTGTGTGCATCTGTGGGCATCTTGGCTGCCATGCGGTTCTGAAGATGCTTTCTCTGTGTTGGTCTCTTTCCTTCCTCCACTCAGCCCATTTCCCATGACCTGTACTCAACCACGCAGCTGCGTGATCTTGGGGTCCATCTGTCCCCTTTTCCCCCAGCCCACCCCCAAGGGCCCTTGAGCGCCTACCTCTGGGTGGTCTGTGAAGTAGTCATGGATGGTTTCCAGCACCAGGTTGGGGGACCCATCAGCCATGTTCTTGATTTTCTTGACTATGTATTTCAGATGGAAGGGATCTGACCCATTCAAGTCTCGGAGCATCTTGAAGCAGATGGCTAAGGTTGGCAAGAAGGGTGGCAGGGTGGACAGATTGTGAGAATGTCACTCTGTGGCAGCATGACTGAGCGGGCAGGGAAGGAGGAAGGCTAGGATGGGAGTGGGAGCTCTAAGGACAGAAGAACTGGACATACTCGGAAACCCTCAGTTTACGGGTTACCCAAACAGCTCTGACGTTTAAGATAGAATAAGGGCGGGAATGCAGGCAAGTCTGTTATCTGTATCTATTCGTGTAGATTTTCACACACCCAACCACCTTTCATTCTCTCATATAACCATCTGCCACTCTGCTATCCATTTATATATACATATACCCATAAACCCCTCTGTCACCTACCTGTTCGTCATCCGTCCATCCACCTATTTATCCATCCATCTATCCATCCTCCATCCATCCATCCATCCATCCATCCATCCATCCATCCACGCATCCATCCATCCATCCATCCATCCATCCTCCCATCAACCTGTCCATCCACTCATCTACTTACACATTCATCCATATGAATGTTTGTTCATGAATCCACCTCTCCATTGCTTGCCCATCTATCTATCCATCAATACAGCTATCCCTCTGTCCATTCATTCACGCAGTCATCCGTATGTATAGTTGTCTATCTATCAATCCAGCTCTATCCACCTGTCCATCATCCATCTTCCCTGTTCCTTTTCCCATTCTCTACTCCTTTTCTGTGCTCTCCGTGTAGTTGTCCTGCACTCACTCATGTTCACGCTCCGTGGTTCTCAAGTATGTTTGTGGAATCAAGGAAGAGTCAGCATTCCTCTCTGGCTCAAGGAGCTTCTCACCCAGGCCCTCCCTGTGTGGTATTAGGGGACAGTGGCCCAATGTGGTAGTTGTGTAAAAGATTACAGGTGCACAGATAGAAGAAGGGCAGAACCCCGAGTGAACTGTGTCAGCATGAGCTTCTCAGAGAAAGTGGAAGTTAAAACCTCCCCGGGCAAGGGCCTGGCATAGGCTGGAGTTCTGAGATGAAAGAAAACGAGAGGCGGGCAGAGCATGGGGTGTGAGCTGGAGCATTCTGGAGACATTAGCTGGTGCCTTGGGAGGCGTCAAAAGGCTGAGGAGAGGGTGCATGGTCACTGCTGAAAGCCTGGCTGTGTTTTCAGTCCTCGGCCTCCCCACACTCCCTCAGAGGCTCTACTTCTACCTCACTCAGGTGGAGGGCAAGATGGGGTCTTCCTGAACTTGACCCAGTCTGAGCCCCCTGCTGTCTGTGTCCCAGCTCACCTGCATTGTAGGCCTCCTCTATGAAGACTCTGTGTTCTTGGGGCACTAGGGCAGCCTGGCAGCTCTGTGACTTGTGGAGAAGGATGGTGTTGGCGACCTTCTGTCTGTCCTTGTGGGCAGAGCCCTGAGGTACCGTGGTGAGTGACAGGTCCAGCGTGGCTTCAGAGGTAAGGGAGAAGATTCTGAAATGGAAAGTGGTCCTGGGTGTGCACTCATGACCCTAGTGCAGGAGACAGAGAGCAGCTTTGGTCACAACTGGGCTCCACAACGTCCTTCTGTGGACTGAGCCTTGGGACACAGTTGTGCAAATAGCCCCATCTGGAGACTCGATGGGGCCTGACTTCCAGGAAGTGTTGTTGGGACAGACAAAGCTGTAGGGATATGGGGAGGAGGGTGGCGAATCGTGGCATCCTCAGTCTCAGCGGTACCTAGGGGAGGCCATTCCTCAGGACACACATGAGACCAGTCTGTACCCTAGACTTTGCTGGTGGACAGCTTTGAGGGAGGCCAGGCACTTTGTAAGAAGAGGGGACGTAAAGCTGAGTAAGCTGTACAACCCCATCATCAGCCCTAGATCTCACCAGCACAGTCCTTCTGGGCAGGGGAGGTGTGCACACGGGTGTATGAGACAGAGAAAGAGAGAGGTGGGGGCAAAGGAGGAGCAAGGAAGGATGGATGCTGTTGTTGGTAGGTGCTGCTGAGTCCCGTATGACTCCAGGGACCCTGTGAACAGCAGAGCTGAACCCTGTCCTATCTTGCGCCATCCTCATCATCTCAAACATACTTAAGCCCATCGCTGCCATCACTGTCACGTTGTCCTTCCTCTCTTTTGCTGATCCTCCACCTTTCCAAGGAAAAGCCCCTCATACCAACTTGCCCAAAGTATATTAGATGAAGGTTCACCCAAGACAAAGCTGTTTGTTCTTTTGGCAGTCCATGAGATATTCAGTACCCTCCTCCAACACCACAACTCAAAGGTATCAATTATTCTTTTGTCATTCTTATTCATTGTTTAAGTCTCAGGTTTACTCATTGTCCTATGCTCTCAGCATGGCAAATGATTGAAAAGATCATGGCCTGAAGCAGGTGCACCTTAGTCTTCAAACTGACACCATTACTCTTCAGTACTTTGGAGAAGTCCCTGACAGTTGAATTTCCCAAGACAAGAAATCTTTAAATTTCTTTACTTCTGGTACCAATCATTGTGGATTCAGTAATTGCTTCAAGTCCTCTTCACTTTAATCAAACTATTGCCTTGGCAGTGTGTAAAGCCATGCCTAGACCAAGCTAATGTGTTCCTCTTTAACAAGTCTTAACACCAAGACTTACAGGGTAAAATTGTTTTCAAGTAATGTAACTGTGTTCTAGAACAATATCTAGGACGTAACAGAATAAAATGTACACTGTATGACATTCAATTAAAAGGTTACCAGGCATGCAAAAAACAAGAACATGTGATCCACAGTGAAGAGAAGAAGGAATAAATAAGAGTTAGCACAGAAATAACAAACGTGATAGAATTAGTGAAAAAAGAACATTTTAAAAGTCATCATAACCCTACTTCCTACAAAGAGGACAGATAGCAGGTTAAAGCACAGGCATGCTAAGGAAAGATACATGAAAAATGAACAATTGAAAGGAAAAAGTCTGTGGTTAAATATATACCAGTTGAGTGTAACAGCAGATGAGACACTGTTGAAACAAAACCTGGTGAATATGGCAATAGAAGTTATTAAAAAAAGGGAAACATTTGCAAAAAAAAGCAATAGTGAGCTACAGAACATTTAAATCATTGAATACATGAGTAATTAAAGTCCTTGAAGAACAGGAGCATAGAAGAAAAATGGAACAAATAATACTTGATTTTCAAATATTAAGCTACAATCTTTTTCAATTTGATGAGAGTTATAAACCTACAGATCCAAGATAAAAAAAAAATCTGGAAATCATTTAAACATTGTTTCTTTCTATGTGCTCAGAAAATTATCCGAGAAGTTGGGCTATATTCAGAAGAATGTGGCATCAGAATTGGAAGAAGACTTGAAGCATTTGCTGACGAATTTCAAAGGCTGCAGCCTCCAGTATGGATTACATTTACCCACCAAGAAAGCAAAACTCCACACCAATAGATCTGTAAATGACATAATGAGAAATCCACTGATGTTAGTGGCTTCATATTTGGGGGATCCACCATCAATGCTCATAAAAGCAGCAGTTCAGAACTCAAACAACAAATTGTATTGAGAAAACGACTGCAAACACTCTCTTTCAAGGGTTAAAAACAAAGATGGTATCTTCAGGACTAAGGCACGCCAGGCATTTTCTTTTTTTTTTTTGCCAGGCATTTTCAACCACTTCATAAGCATGCAAAAGCTGGACAATGAATACGGAAAACCTAAGAAAAGTGGATGCATTTGAATTGTGGTGTTGGTGATGAATACTGAAAAGCCACACACTGTCAGGGAGCTCTGATGGCCTAGTGGTAAGAAGCTATGCTACAATCCCAAAGGCACAGGGTTCGAATCCACCAGCTGTTCCACGGGAGAAGGATGGGCAATCCTCTCATGTGATTAACTGCCTCTGAAAGCCTGCTGGAGGGTCAGCTATGACAGTTCTGACTCAATGGCACACAGCAACAATCAAGAGAATGAACACATCTGTCTTGGAGGAAATGCAGGTAGAACATTCCTTACAGGTGAGGATGGTGAGACTGTCCACATACTGGGCTTGTTGCTGAAGGGACGAGTTCCTGGGGATGAACATTATGTTTGGCAAAGTAGAGAGTCAACAAAAAAAGAGGACTCTTCTCGGAAGATGGCGCTGGAAGCGAAGAAGGAAGCCCCTGCCCCTCCCATAACTGAAGTCAAAGCAAAGGCATTAACGGCCAAGAAGGCGTCCTGAAGGGCATCCACAGACTCAAAAAAAAAGAAGATCCACACATCGCCCACCTTCCGGCGGCCTAAGATGCTCAGACTCTGAAGGCAGCCCATGTACCACCGAGAGAGCGCTCCCAGGAGAAACAAGCTTGACCACTATGCCATCATCAAGTCTCCCCTGACCACTGAGTCAGCGCTGAAGAAGACAGAAGATTACAACACACTTGTGTTCATTGTGGATGTCAAAGTCAACAAGCACCAAATTAAACAAGCTGTAAAGAAGCTCAATGACATTGATGTGGCCAAGGTCAACACTTTGATTAGGCCTGATGGAGAGAAGAAGGCCTATGTTTGACTTGCTTCTGACTATGATGCTTTGGATGTTGCCAACAAAATTGGGATCATCTAAACAGTCCAGCGAGCTAATTTTAAATATAAAATTTTCTCACTAAAAAAAAAAAGAGGACTCTTTTCAATGGGGTAGATTAACACAGATGTGGCAAAATAGGTCCAAATGCAGTGATAAATGCCGTGACATGGTACAGGACTGGACAGTGTTCTCATGATGAGTCAGAACAGACTTGAAGGCAACTAACATAGCAACCTATCTCTTACATATAATAAAAAGTATGAAAAATACAGAAGACTAAAGATAGGAAGGAGGACATAATTCTTATTGGAAACAATGAACGCCAGAAGACAGTAGATTAACACCTTAAAACTCTGAAGAGGGAGGGAAGATAATGTCAACAAAGAAATGTATGTTGTTGTTGTTATGTGCCGTCGAGTCGCTTGCGACTCATAGCAACCCATGTACAACAGCCCTAAACTCTGCTCTGTCCTGTGCCAATTGAACTGTCTCTTATACACCCATCCTGATTACCCCAGTCACTGAATCAATCCACCTCATAGAGGGTCTTCCCCTCCTGCGCTGTCCCTCCACCCTACCAAGCATGATATCCCTCTCCAAGGATCGGTCCCTCCTTACAACATGTCCAAAGTATCTTAGACGGAGCCGTAGAATCCTTGCCTCCAAGGAGCCGCCCTGTTTGACCCTTTCCAGGATGAATCTGTTTGTTTTCCTAGCAGTCCATGGTATCCTCAATACTCTTCTCCAGCACCACAGCTCAAAGGCACCAATTCTCCTTCTATCCTCCTCTTTTAAAAGGGAAGGTGTTACAAAATAGCTACAAATGATATAGATACAAATCATGAAAGATTCATCAGAAGACTTGCATTATAAGAAATGTTAATAAAAGTCTTCTAGGCAGAAAGAAAATGATACCAGACAGAGATATAAACAAAGGAAGGAAGGACAGTAGAAATGGTAAATATGTGGGCAGATAGAAAATATTTTTTCTTGTTTTCCAATTGCTTTGTAAGTGTTTGAAGCAGAACTAATAAAGTATTGTGGGGTTTATAATGACTATTATAAAGTATATGCCAATGAAGACCAGAAAGAAGGAATAGAAGTTTACCAATATAGAGCTCTTATAGAGTCAACTAGAAAAGGAGATAAGATGAAAAAATGAAAAACACTGAATGCAAATGAGGACGAAAAATGAGGGAAACCAAACCAAAGAGTAGATCACACAAACGGGAAAACAAATTGCAAGACAATAAACTAAAACCTAATTATATCATTGTTGTTGTGTGCTGTTGAGTTGAGAGCAGTTAGTAGCTGATCCTCCAAAGGGTTTTCAGAGGCAGTAAATTGTGCTGGAGTAGACAGCTCATCTTGTTCCCTTGGAGCAGCTGGTGGATTCGAACCATGTGCCTTTGGGATTGCAGCACAGCTTCTACCTGTCAGAAGTAAATGACTGGAAAAAACTTTTGACAAAGTCCAACATTCTTTTCTGACTAGAATGTTCAACAAAATAGGAATAGAGGAGAATTTCATCAGCATAATTAAGAACATATATTCTAAAGCAGTAGTGAATATCATCCTCAAAAGAGAGAGACTAACCACATTTCCCACGTGAACAGGAACCAGGCAAAGATGCCTATCATAACTCCTATTAAAAATGTATCAAAAGTATTAATGAAAGCAAAAAGACAAGAGATGGAGATAAGAGGCATCTAAATTGGCAAAAAGGAGGTAAAAATATCTTTATATGCAGATGATCTGATAGTAAACATAGAAAACCTTTGATTCAGCAACAAAATTGTTGTATGTAGTAGACCAATTCAGCAAAGTGGTATGATATAAGATAAACATACAAAAATCAGTCATTTCTATACAGTAGCAAAGAGAATGCAGAAAAGAAAATAAGAAAAGCCATACTAGTTATAATAGCCAACCACAGATGAAAGAATTAGGAATAAATCTAGAGATACAAAAGACCTATATGAAGAAAACTATAAAACATTGCCACAAGAAACAAAAAGAGACCTAGATAAATGGAAGAATATACCGTGTTCATGGATAGTTAAGACTCAGTATTGTAAAAATATCAATTCTATTAAAAGCAACCTACAGGTTAAATGCAATTCTAATACAGATAATGATGCCATTCTTCAAGGAGATGGAAAAGGCAATTTCCAATTTTATCTGGAAAGGAAAGAAACCCTGAATAAGCAAAGCACTACTGAAAAAACAACAGCAAACAAAACAAAACAAAACAAAAAACAACAAACAAACAAACCCCAAAGTAGGATGTATTACATTTTCTGATCACAAAACTTAATACACAGCCAGAGTGGTAAAAACTACATTGTTCTGGCACATGACAGATCAGTGGAATAGAATCAAGAACAGAAATCAATCCATACCGTCAACTGATCTTTGACAAGGTTGTTGTTGTTGTTATGTGCCGTCGAGTCACTTGCGACTCATAGTGACCCTATGTACAACAGCCCTAAACTCCGCTCTGTTCTGTGCCAATTGCACCATCTCCGATACACCCATCCCAATTGCCCCAGTCACTGAATCAATCCACTTCATAGAGGGCCTTCCCCTCCTGCGCTGTCCCTCCACCCTACCAAGCATGATGTCCCTCTCCAAGGACCGGTCCCTCCTTACAACATGTCCAAGGTATGTTAGATGGGGCCTCAGAATCCTTGCCTCTAAGGAGCCGCCCTGTTTGACCCTTTCCAGGATGAATCTGTTTGTTTTCCTAGCAGTCCATTGTACCCTCAATACTCTTCTCCAGCACCACAGCTCAAAGGCATCAATTCTCCTTCTATCCCCCTTAGTCATTGTCCAGTTCTCTGATGCGTAACAAGTGATTGCAAAGATCATGGCCTGTATCAGAAGCACCTTAGTCTCCAGAGAGACACCATTGCTCTTCAGTACTTTGGAGAGGTCCCTAACAGCAGACTTTCCCATCACAATACGTCTTTTAATTTCCTGGCTACTGGTGTTGAGAGTGTTGACTGTGGAGCTAAGCACATTAAAGCTGTGAACAATCTCGATCTCTTCACCATCCATCCTGATGCTACTAATTGGCCCAGTGGTGAGAATCTTTGTCTTCTTGACATTGAGCCTCAATCCATATTGGAGGCTGCAGTCTTTGACCCTCTGCAGCAAGCACTTCAGGTCCTCCTCACTTTCCGCAAGCAGGGTTGTGTCATCTGAGTATCACAGATTGTTGATAGATCTTCCATCGATCTTAACCCCACATTCTTCCTCATAGAGCCCAGCCTCCAGGATAATCTGTTCTGCATGAAATTAATCAAATGAGGGATT